TTTCATTTCTTGGCAACACTCAAAGGGCAATCACCATATATACAAGAGCCAGGGTCTGCATTCTTTCACCGTGTTCGCTCGAGCGTGGGCCAAGAAAAATAGCTGAAAAGCGGGCTGAGGGATCTCAATTTTTACGGTGGTTTTTACCGCTTACCGAGAAAGGGTTCAATGCAGTTTAATTTAAAAAAGCATTGATTTGCATGGAGTTCAAACAAAATATGTACTGGCAAATTTGTAACAGCCTCCTTTAACAATAAGTGTATGTGAGTGTCTAGTGGAGTGGAGTAAGGTTCGAGCATAACTAACTCAAAACCTAACGAGACTTTCTTGAAAAAGACCAATGATTCGGGGAGAGTCTTTTGTAAGGGAAGAAGGAACAAGAATCGGATGGAAAAAAATTGGGAACAAAAGGATTATAACACAAATTCTAAGAAAGATCATTTGTAGGCGGTTTCTGTAACTGGCGCAGATACTCAGCTCTCCAGAAGATAGTTGAGTGTCCAGTTTCTAACGCTGCTCCACTTTCCTTTTGCCACCTGCAGATGAAGTGAGCTTTACTCTTCAGTATCTCTCCAGAAATGTGTTGGTTTCGTGGCACCATTCAGTCAACAACCGTATGGCATCAGATCTTACTTTTTTATACCCTGCTTCATCTCCACAGCCAGATCAGTTTGAACTGTTTTTTTTCCCAGTAGCGTGTATTAACATTTCCAGTATAAAATCGGTTAATGAAGGTTGAATCTTTCAAAAGGTGAATTGTTTATTAGAAAGAGAACCAAAAAACAAAAAAAAAACACGTCAGAGCAAGGAGACTGTTTTAGTGCAACCTTCCACCATCTTGTGGTCAGTTTTAAGGAACTGTGGTGAGTGGAGTAAAACCGGTTCTTCTCAGAACCACACTTACTCATAAAAGAGAATATTGTACATGGTGTAACCGCAAAAAATCCATTACCAAGAGTGGTATCATGGTAGGGGAAGGGAAACAGTGAACAGAGAATTTAAGATTTTTTTTTTAAAGGGACTGTGTTTGGACAATCTGCGCACCAATTTGACATTTGCATTTTAGTTTTAAATCTGACTTAGCTTCCAGTTCCTGTAGCACCATTCCATCCGGATCAAATTTTCAAAAGGTGGTTCCCTGCAAACTTTCCCCGTAGCCCTAAGAAACTCATGTTGGCAAATGGTGTCTCATGTTATGTGTAGTGTGTCTAGTGGTTGATTGGTGTATTGCTACATTCAATTGTCCTTTCATAGTATCCATTTTGCTTCTTCACAGTGCATGTAAACGTAACCAGATAAGATTACTAGTTATATTCATGACAAAATACCGCTGTATAATTCTCGTTGTGTAGTTGTGCAGTGGATTAACAATAGTTTTCCCACCCCATTTGAAATGAACACACCCTTTTTTCCCCCAACGCCTCTATCCTACCCAATGTACTCAGATGATGTGCTTTTAGTACCCTTCTTGACCACAACCTGCCTTCCCAACCCCTGTCCTACTCCTATCCTGCCCAATATCTGCACGCAGACTTCAGTCTGTTTGGTTTTTCTCCAGTGTCCGCCAACCCAGTGACGCCATTATAGAAGGAAGTAGGAGTTATGCACATATATAGTAGACCTGTGTCCTCTTGAAGTGGCTGCTGTGTACAAACTGCTCCAGCCAAATTTTTTCAGGAAAAGATCAGACTTTATGGGCACCGGTTATTAGCTTTGTCTTCTATGGAATAACGGAATCCTCCTTTTAGTAAATGTCTGCCATTTAGCCAGCATGTAAAGTTTGTTGTATGGTGCCTAGTTTTTAGAAGTAGGTGTGGCCAAAAGATTTGATTTATTCTTGGAATGTCAACTTAAACTTGTTTAGTAAATACGTATTTTTTTGGAGTGGTAGATTAGTAAAGTATTTTTTTTTCCCAACAGGGCTGCTTCTATTTTATACATATTTTGATTTTAAGAGGTACACAGATGTTGTTAGAGTCCAGGATGCTGTTTTTTTCCCCCTTTTTTGTATTGCCAATGCTGTGTAATGACAAAACACCAGGAATGATTGCTATTGATATTTATAATCTACAAATTGCATCACAGGGCTTGTGTGTAGTTGTGATACGTGCACATGGCATACCATGCCATCATACATTAGCATGTGTGTCTTACCACTGCACCATAAAAGGATTGCTGTTGCAAGCAGCATCGATAGTTTAAGTGACATTACACAGCAAACCATCCATTACGTTCAATTCCGAAGATGCATGAAAAGTTTTGCTACTGATTTCCAACTGAGAACAACAACATTGATTCATTTTGCTTCATTCAGCTGTATAGAAACCCGTTCTGCATTAATTTCAGAAAAAAAAATCGTGATTTTATTTTGTTTTGATTTAGTTTGCTTTTGGTTTCCATCAACAAACACCATTGCAAGTACACGTATTTTCAGTGGCTGGTATATTTTGCACTACAAATTATTGGAATTTTCTTCTTTTTTTGTGCAGTCTACGGGTATTGTTATAATTTTTATGGACAGAAGATTTGTAGCTTGTATGTCCAGAATATAGGCTAGCTGATTGTAGAAGCGTGCCCTTTGTACAAGCACTTGAAACCATTTCTCTCCTTTGGTCACATAGCATTAAGATCTCAATACAGTTGATTCACAAAAGTATGCCTCCAAGAGTTTGCAATGCGTTGACCAATCACAGTGTGCGAAATCTGTCGACCCTTTCCAAACGCGCATTGGGTCAATGGATTTTACACACGTCGCAAACTCTTGTAGGTGCACCATTATGAATCGCCCGTATTTTCATGGTACTTGGTCATGTCACTCAATAAAATGCATCACATTAAAGCACTGTATATTGGATGTTTCCATTCGTTTGAGGGTTTCTTCTGTAGATACTTGTCTGTCAACTCCTCCCACAGAATATCTATGGCATTGTCTTTGCTCTAGTTTCATTTACATGAGTGGACTTGGCAATTGCAGTTTTGAAATTACAATTTTAAAAGCCCCGAAGACAGTAACTCAAAGTCATTGGGGCACAAAAATGTGCAGTAGTCGGACAGCATGAACTTTCAGGAGTTCAGAAGATAAATTATTTTCAGAATGTCTTTTTGTGGGGAGGGGGGCTGCATGTAGATACGTGGTGATTTGCCCAATAGTACACAAATTCATATCAATGCATAATGATGGCACTGGTTCTATTTCGTTCGTTCTACGTTCTGCTTCACAAGGTGCAGCCTAATGCCTTGGCTGGAATTCTCTGTGTCTCTTTTTTTCATTGCACGAAACACTCGTTACTTGTTTGTACAAGGCATGAATAAATGCCTCCATCTACTGAGTAGATCAAATCCACGCCTGAAAAATCCTTCAGGTCCTCGCATTTCCTTTAACTGTAAATTTCTTTTGCCCACACATTGGGACTTCATTGAGCAGTGAAATAGAACTTGTGTTTTGCAATGCCACAATGCCACGCATTGGTGCATATAATTAAATGATGCATGACCAATGATCAAGCTATCAGATGCCGGGTGGAAATATATTCCTAATTACGAAAGTTTATTTAAATAATCTGATACAGCGCATGCAGGAGTGGTCAAAAGGGCGCCCTCTATGTCCGCGCAGTGATGCCACATTGAGCTGTTAGCTGTCGGTGCTGGTATGTTTTGGGGAGAACTTTTAGCTGCCGATTCCATCTAAGAAATAATTGTTAATGATGATCATAGAGGAATGATAATTGTATTTCTGGGAAGTTGGATACTGGAGCTGTGTAAGGACTGGTACAGTCCCAGCTGGGGGTGTACAGCCTTGGCAGAATGCAGTGGTTGGAGAATTGGGCAAAATTGAGATGCTAAAATTGGGACAATGAAAATAGAATATCACTGCCAAATCGGAATGGTCAACAAAGATGATAAAAGCATTGAATGGAATGATACAAAAATACCCACTTTACTATGTCATCGTCAGGGGCAAAGTGAAGGCATTTTTTGGGGGGGAGGGCAGTTCCAAAGCATGGAGGAATGTGTTTTATATGGCCAGAGTCAATTTGCCAACTTGTAACTTGTTTGCCAACCTGGTGTCGTGTAAAAATGCCAACGGCCAACTGGCGCAGCTAGAGTATATTGTTTATGTACCAATTTTTCATTTGCCAACAAAAGATCTATTTGCCCACTGAACTGAAATTGATTATTGGGGAGGGGGCGTGTCAACCCCCACTTCCTTCTCCCCTCCCCCCCCCGCTCGCTACACCCCTGAGTAGGCTGAAAAGTGCATTAAATAACTGTGATGTACACTAAGTTAGACTGCTGTGGTTGCCATCCATGTCTGACATATGTGCGCTTCGGTCAACAAATTAGGGGCGTTTGAGCTTAAATTAAGCATGCATCTTAGTAAGATGCAGACCTTGCCACAAAGCTTTGATGTTGTCGAGATTTCTTTGTACTCAGCACAGCGGCGCCCCGCAAGAATTAGTCCATTTCCGAACCCGCTCATCATTTGATTTATATACACACACAGGCTTAAGCGTCTTAACCCTGAATGTTAATTTTGAAGATCCAGAATACTGTCAGATTTTCTATACGAATCAAAGTACTGCATTGGCAAATTCAAATCTGTCAGTATATTTTTTTCCAAACTTCGTCATGTATTCCTTTTGACTTCATTATTGATGTTTCTGCGATATCGTACTTCTGCCTTTTTATTTTGACTATTTTGCTATATCATACCAAAGAATGCTGTCTTTTCTGGGTAAAAACAAATTGTGGTGGTAAACCGTTGATCCTCGTGAAAAATTTTTTTTTTAACTTCTTAAGACTTCCACCTAGAGCCTTGCTCTGTGGCTGTCGCCGTTACTCAATTTAACGCGTAAGAAAAATAGTTCCACTGATTTCGGTTGTTTTGCCTGTTTGCTGTACCTGTTTTGAATTACAGCATTGTTTTCGTTTCGGTCACTTAAAAGAAAATTGCTCATAAAAGAAAAGCACTTAACTATGCTGATAATTTAATGTAATTTCGCATACGTTTAAATTCATCCGCCATAATCCAACTCCCAGGCCGTTTGGAAGTCTACCGGAACTATGAAAATGTCGAAACTGATTGGAACTGGTTTCCGACGTCTCTTGGTGGGCACAGCGTGTAGTGGAATACAAAGGGGTCGAGAACCAGCCCGTTACATTTTGTCTTTTTTTTTTCTTGCGGCACATGGTCTGCTAATGAGGCAATGTACGTACGGTACGGTGCGGTACGGTCTACGTCCGTTGATGTATACATGAACGTATGTTGATGGTATCGTCTGCGCGCTGCATGTATGTCGGAGCTGACTCAACTCGGTCTTCACCAGATCTCGACTAGCACTAGCTGAAAGGGGAGGAAATTTGGCAGTTGCTCTCTGTGTCATAGCAAAAGGAGCTACCGAGCATGGGGGACATCGGGAATCGAGAGGACTTGGTCTATATGGCCAAGCTAGCTGAGCAGGCTGAGAGATATGATGGTAAAAAGCGAATCACATCCTTCAATGTCGAGTTTCTTTCACCTGTTGTTCATATTGCACCCTTTTCGTGAAAATAAGGCCGATCTGTTTTTGTATGCATATGGCCATGTTCGGATGAATACATAAAACAAGCGAAGATAAAATAACTTTAGTTAGGCTTAATCACAATGATATAGGCCTATATATAGTATGTAAGCCTACACGATGTATGGGAACTGTTACAGTGCAACATAAGGGGGTAGGGCAGGCTAGGCTACATTCTCAAAATCGGGATGACGTCACTGATTCTTGATTCTTCTCCCTGATTGGTCAATTGAGGGCTGTTCCATATTTCACACTCAAAACTCAAAGGGGCAAAAATAGTATGGTCTATAGGAAAAATCTGAATTATTGACTAAACTCTTGACCTTTACATCAAATGTGCCTGAAATTTCAATATTTGTGCACTATAAACATTTCCCACACTGTACTGAAAAGGTTTCAGTTATTTTTGTCATATTGTTGCCAAAAAAGGAAAGCATACTAGGCCTAATCCGACCCTGCTGTAGAACATGTAGAAAGTGAATGGAGAGTTGCCCCTTTGACCAGACGTCAAGTGCAATAAATGGAACCACCTCTGACCTCGAGAATAAATCAGTCAGTAATGTTAGGCCACTAAAAAAAAAAGTTTAGCATCAGTTGTATTTGCAAAAAATCCGACAGGCGCTCTGGTATAGGTCGTACCATACAAAACTGGTTCCCTGTCACCTTGCGTGACAGACGAACAAGGAACCTGTGAAATTAAATTTGAATAACATTTATATGCATGTCACTGTACCATGCTCCACACACGTGCTGTGGGCATACTGCACATTAGCAAAGTGCACACCAACTTACATGTACGACTAAGTAATACTGTTACAATATGAATTATGCATCTACGACACCTGTCGGGTGCCTTGACCATTGACGCATGAAGCACTGCCTTCTTTTTTCAAAATGGCACCACCCATGGTCACCATATAAATATCACGGGCCGGGTTTTTTAAGGTGCCATACGTCGGATAATATATGGTTTGGAAAGCTTTAGGGTGCTCATTTAAAAGTCTAAACTCTGAGGAATACAATACACGTGTTCAAGTAAAATTGTTGAGTCATTCTCATTTTGGAAGATATTAGGATTCAAATTTGTGACAATCCTGCAGTTTGGATTTCATGCGTGTAAGACATGCCTTGAAGTAGGGCTGTGGTGGCGACAGATAAGAGACATTGTAAAAGAGAGCCACTGCAGCCCTACATGTGGTGATAGGCCTACATGTACATGACCAAGGGCCTAATTGCTGTTTTAGCTTACTCCAATTCTGAGACTGACCCGATATGCCTGAGTGAATATAGGCTACATGTATGACCATGATGACGAGTAGCCCTCTGCGGTCTGCCCCTCCATGCCCTGCTTTGACAATCTTGACCAATTGATTATCATGACTATTTGGCTGAGTTCTTAAGATTTGTCATTTCTTTTAATACCAGTGTTCTCCAGGGGCTGTTTTAGCAGGGCCCTGCCAAAATTTTTGGACGCCCCGCTAAAATTTTGCCGCCCTGCTAAAATTTGTGCCGCCCTGCTATTTTTTTGGAGTTGTGTATTTTTCCCTGAATGTCTATTTTCTTAAGATTTTAATAAAAAAAGAGGTTTATTGCAGTTTGTGGATTGAGTTTGAGTTTACCAAGGACGTTTATGATGTACTGACCGTGGTGATCGTTTGCTGCCTGCCGTTATGCATAGTCAACCTCTTGTCCCGAAAAACCATCTCGTATGCTTTGTACATGTACACGTACATTGTATTGCGCAAGCGTGTACATGTACACGCAGTGCATGTGACTGGTTCCCGCGGCACAACATTGTTTTGCGGAGTGTGTGCGGGTGCCAGTGGAAGGACCGTGCCATGCCTGAGCAGCCCCCACGCTCTGCTCCAATGGAGGGGTTGCTTCATTTTTATGACGTGAGCTGGAAAAGGTAAACTTATCTTTGCCTGAACATATTTCTTTTGTCCTTTTTTATTCAAGGGCACCTTTTTAGGCTTGTTTTTACTGTGCCTTTTCTCGTCTCGAGTCAATAACATGAGTTTCTGCTAAAAATGCTCCGGAAATTAAAATAATTTCGTCTTCAAATCTTTTGATGAAGAAATTCCTCCTGAAGAATATCCTAGCCAATATTTCACGTTGTAAATGCAATCAGATTTAGGGCCAAATTACAGACGAAAGTGGACTGGAAATTGCCCCAGAATGCACCACAGAGCATCTGGAATCCAAAATTTTTTGGGGCCCTTAAGCGGGCCCCAGACCCCACGCCATAAGGGCTTCGCACTCGCAATTTTGTCTACCGCCCTTCCAAATTTTCGGCCATGGAGAACACTGAACACCATTCCCATGAATCCTGCAGTTCTTAACAGGCTGGAGTTGACCGGAACCCAAACGTTAGACTTGCAAACTAGAGTGACTACTACTTTAGATAGCATTCTAATTCATTATTCAAAACAAAATACTGTAAGGTCAATTTCATGTTTGCTCCTTTTTCCTTTCTTCAGTTCCTTTCTACCATTATGCAAAATCACATATGAAATATTAGAGCTTCGAAATGCTTAGCCAAATTTAGGAAAGTGTGTCATTTTTGTGAGTGAAAGACAGGATCCTCAGGATCTCACCCTGGAGCCAAGTCTGAGGTCTTCATTCAACTTTTTTATTCTTGCTGGTTGACACGATTGAAGCAAATCAGTATAGGCCAACCCGGTACAGGAAAGGACTCCTAAACTCAATGATGGACAGTTTATGATCGGTTAAAGCATGTTAGGGGTGAGGGATTGAACTAAAAAACAAATCAAATATTGTTAAAATAATTTGAAAATTTCTGTGAGTACCCTTGGACTTCGTGCTCAGATGACCAAACACATGTTGTACCATATGTTGTGTGTTGCATACATCGTCTCATAAGCCTAGACTAAAGAGACCATACCCTAATCTTCTTTAGCAAAAAGAATTTCTACTACTTGCCCCAAACTGTTTCTTCTTATCATGACTTAAAGTGGGAACTGGGAGGGGAGCATGTGTCAGATCTTTTACTGCATTCCCTTACACTTTAACAGTAACATGCAAGTTTTGAGGGATTCAGTTTACGTGCTTGGCAGTTATTAAGTGTTATGAATGAAAAAGTCATGCATGAATGAGGTACATGTAAGCTGACTCACCTCAGTGAATCACATTGGCCTACCGCATATCATGACAGCTGAGTTTTTGATAGGCACATGTATGTTCATGTACATGATGTCACGATTGTCATACCAACCACAGGCACGTGGTTGGGCGATGGTGCCAGACAAATACCGGTAGAATTGTATCTAAAACTTCTTGGAAGTTACATGTATACTGCATTATTGAACAGTATGTGGAATTATGGTTGCAGAAACAGTTGCAAAAAGAGATTTGTTTTCGTCGCAAGATTTGTTTTCTTCACAAATAAAACGCTTTAGACATGCTTGTGAAACTACCAGTAATTTAAGATTCTCGACACTTCTAGCCAAGGCTGATGATGAAAAACAGCCATAAAGAATTTGTTTTATTCATAATGATATACATGGACTTGTAAAAAGTGTACCTTTGCACAGTTACCCGTATATGTAAACCCGATTCCACTTGATTCATATTCACCAACCACATGCATGAGGAAAAACCTACTCTCCCGTTGATGATCGCAATGCAAATGTCTAGAGCAGATATGAGAGGGGTAAGGTATCGTCAAAAGGAACAGAAGAGAAAGAAGGAAAAGGATCACCACAGACAGGTTTCCCAACTCCTCTGTGGACTGTTCATGAGCCATTTCAGTATGATGGTAGCCTTAAATTTCAGTGTGATTTTCTGATCTACTGCATAAAGTGTCAAATTTAAAAAGGATAATCATGAGGGGCCAATTTCATAGAGCTGCTTAAGCACAAAATTTGCTTAAGCGTGAAAAAAGCCTTACTTGATAAATCAGGTAACTAGCCAAAATTCCATGTGATGTATATTGTTTTGGGATCGTATTTAGCTGCTTTCTGGTTAGCAGGACAATCAGATAGAGTTTGAGCTGGTAACCTTTGTTTATTAAGCAAATTTTTTTCCCGCTTAAGCAAATTTTGTGCTTAAGCAGCTCTATGAAATTGGCCGGAGGTGATACCATACATAGCTTATACACACATGTATGCATTTGATGTGCATACTTGTACTCGTGTCATGATGTGCTTGTATCTGTGTAATGGATTTCGCCCAGCAGTATTAGAATCATGATTGAATATCTCAACCTTGACATGCGTTAGTTCCTTCAATACTGGTCATGAGGAAATAACAGCAAAATAAGGAAAAACCTCTGGAGGATGAAAATAAGGAAGCCACTTCACAAATCCTCCAGATTCTGACGTTGCAGTCAACATTCTCTGACGGGTTCTAGAAAAACCAGACACAAAGCCCTACACAAAGTTATTAGTTTGGATTTCAGGTTGTCAGAATTAGTTTGGACACGTATGAAAGGTTAAACATATAAATTTCCTTACATTTATGTCAAATCTGGTAGCCAGGAATGTAGTGAATGTGTAGTAATGTGGCTACAGGACCATTTGTACACGAACAGCACCTTGTGCATACAGGCATACACCAGAAGGTCTAGACAGAGGCATGGTTATCATAGAGAGTCATCTATTTTGAATCTGAAGAGCAAGATTATAAAGTGTGCTAATTGCTGCTTTGGAACAATCTGTTCACGGCAGTACATGTACATACATGTACTTGTATATAACGTATTACATGTACATGTATTAGATCCTCTATATTTTGTGTTAAGAATGTTGTAAGCAGCATGCATTGTCAGACAGACTGTACATGGATTTCCTATTACAGGTACATGTACCAAACCTGTGATCAGTAACCCTAACCCCCTAGGTTCTTGCATTTTAACCCTAGCCCCCTAGGCTCCTGCACTAGAAAGCATACTGAAC